GGAAACTGATGGAGTGGGTGATTGCAGGAACCAAGACCACAGGATAAAGTGTTTCAGAGCAAGGCCTCTTGTTCAAGATCTGCCCTGGACTCCAACTCTTATCAGCTGTGTGATCTTGGGCAAGTTACCTCATCTCTGGGCCTCTGTTCCCTCAGCGATAAAATAGAGATAGTGATGGTATCTGCATCACAGGGTTGTTAGGAGGATCAAGTAGGTTAATATAAGCAAGGCCCCTAATGGGCCTGACAGGGTAAAGTGCTTTTTCAGTGTTGGCTGTTGTCACTACACACACAGGGCTTCCCTGAGGCTGAGGCAGCCCAGCAGAGTGGTTACTGACCAGACTCCCGAGGGGGCCCCTTGGGCACATGCTCTCTCTTACAATGAGCTAGCGCTGTGACCTGGAGCAATTTATGTAGCCTTCCTATACCTAAGTGTTTTTTTTCACCTGGGAAAGGTGAAGGTGATAAGAATAGGAGCTCCCTCAGAGGGCTGCTATTGTTGGGATGAAATGTGATCATACATATGAAGTGTTTAGAAAAGAGTCTGGCTCCTATTAAGCACTGAGCAAATGTCAGTTATTATTATTCCTTGGCTATAAGGAACCCTGAAGATGATATAGCCCTTCTTTGCTTAAAGAGACATTGAATATAAAAGATTTTATTTTCTCTTCTCAATTTTTAGGGTATTTATTTCTGAATTGTAGAAAGAAGGCTGTGCCAGCCAGATACAATCCTTTTTCCCTTGAAGATAAGAAAAACGTGTGGGTACTTTTTTGATACTGTCCTCAAGCCCTTCCCTCCTTATGATACAAGAATGGGAGAGGACTCCTGGGAGCATGTAGCCCACACCCAGCCTCCACAAACCACAGACAGCATTGCTAACACAGGAACTCGAGGCATTTTCCTAATGTGCGGAACCAAGATCATGAGGCTGCCACATTTCCCATGGCCATTTTGATGATCATCAGCTCAAGGCAGGGTTGCTTGCTTTACATTTTAACTTGCTTTGGGGATTTTAAGGGAAAACTTTAGAACCGGTCTCCTAAAGGAAGACAAGACAGAAGCTTTCGGGCTTGGGGCAAGAGACTTGTTTTTCTTTCCTTCTGTGTTGTTTCTCTGTAAACACACTGCAAATTGAAGGACAAGGGGCTAGTTATCCTACTGCGATTAAGTGAGTTTCGCTACTGCCAGAGGACAAAGGCTAGATTGACATGAATGTTCCAGAGGGCAGGTTTGTCTTTTTATCTTTTCCAGTCCTGTTTCTCTCCTGGAGGAGGGGGTACATTAGAACACATGCTGGACAAAAACTCCAATGTAAGCAATGTTCTTAGGAGGAAAGACTCAGTGTACTGGGCAAAGAACTTCTAAATACTGACACTTCTTACAAAGGTAACAAGAGAAGATGGGGAGTGGAGTGGTGATGGGAGTAAAGAAGGTAAGTCCCTAAGAAGGGAGCACAGAAGAAAAGAAGAAAGAGGCAGAAAAGAAGCAGCTCTGGGCCCAGTAGTCAGTCTGGCAAGATTAGTCATCACAAGATATACTCACACATTTCAACTCAGAGCCAAGGTGCCTGGGCCCAGGACCTGAACTCCTGTCTAATACAAGCTCCAAATTTTCAGAATCACAGACTGTTAGAGCTGGAGCAATCCTCTGAGTTCATCTATCTTACCTAGTGCACTAGCCCCTGTGCAGTCTCCCTAAATCTTTCTGTGTAAATGCTTCCTGTGACAGGAGACTCATTATATTCATTCACTGGGGCACCCCAAACATTCTGAAATCCTTCCTAAACCTCTACTGAGATAAAAACCTGCCTCCCTGAAACTCCAACCAGTTTTGTCCTCTACTGGATAAATGGGGTTCAAACGATATTTTCTGAGTTACAGAGGCATATGCTAGATCTCCTGCCTGAGGGCTTTTCCAGGTTCAGCAACCTGCAAGCTGTGTGTCCACTGGCAAGATACTTAATCTCTCAGTGCCTCCGTTTCTTGTCTAAAAAAAATGCAGATAATAATTGTAGAGACCACTGCAGTGCTGTTATTATGGGGATTAAATAAGGTAATCTGTAGAGAGTTATATATGATATGAGCAGGTCATATAATAAGTGCTCAGTAAACTTCAGCTACTGAAATTGTGCCATAGATTGTGGGCCCCTCCAAGACACAGACTGGATCATATTTATCTCTGTAACTTCATTGCCTAGCACAGGAGCTGGCTGAGTATTTGGTACAAAAAAAATTTTTACTGAATGACTAAATAATTCATTGGCAAGAGCTCTATTCTGATGTAAATCCCTATATATGATCTTATGTCTGTAACAGTCTTCTCATAAGAACCCATCCCCCAACTCCTCCTGTGCCCTCAACTTAGCCACTATTTATTACTACTTAATCCAGAAATACCAACTTCTCTTCCCAAAATGGGATGGAGAACCTTGGCTTGAGGCAAAGGTCACAAGAGCCACACTCCAGGCATCAAGTCCCAACCTGTGGAGAAAGATCTGCTCTGTATCCTCGCAGGTAGAGTTATAAAGTATGATTGAGCCTGGCCTGCGTCAACCTATGAACCAGGAGGTCACAGTTGGGTTCCTGGTCAGGGCATATGCCTGGGTTGCAGGCTCAATCCCCAGTGTGAGGCGTGCAGAAGGCAGCCAATTGATGATTCTCTCTCATCATTGATGTTTCTGTGTCTCTCTCCCTCTCCTTTCCTCCCTGAAATCAATAAAAATAAATATATACATTTTTAAGAAGTGTGATCAGTGTGCTATAGCTTATATGGTAAGGCCATGTGGCCCTATGGGCCGCAGGCCTTCCAGAGGGCTAGAGCCTGAGACAGATTTAAGCAAAGAGAAGTACAAAGCTCTTCTGGAGAAACTAGATCAGACAGCAGATAAGATGAGAAGAGGTAGGACAGGATCCGGGCAGACAAACTGGGGAGGAGGAGGACCCAGGAGTTAACCTGGGCCCTGAGTCTAGTTGGAGAGATAGAAGCTTCAGGGATGTCAGCAACACCCTGGGAACACAACTGGACTAGGGTAACACCTCTAGTCACCAAGCGGAAATGGTGCTATCTGGGGAATGAAGAGAAGCATAAAGTTACTGGAGCTGGGGCCAGTAGCAAAATGCTCTACTAGGAAATTAGATATCATGGAACTGCTCATTAAAAGTGCTGAGCACTTTCCCACCTATCAACTCATGCCCACCCTAGTGTCTCCCAACATCAATAATAGCTCAGCCCTAACTGGTTTGGCTCAGTGGATGGAGCGTTGGCTTGCAGACTGAAGGGTCCCAGGTTCGATTCCGGTCAAGAGCATGTACCTTGGTTGCTGGCACATCTCCAATGGGGGGTGTGCAGGAGGCAGCTGATCGATGCTTCTCTCTCATCGATGCTTCTAACTCTCTATCCCTCTCCCTTCCTCTCTGTAAAAAATCAATAAAATATATATTTTTAAAAATAATAGCTCATGCCTGGTCAGTCCTGAGCCCAGGATTCAATCAGGGTATTCCAGGTCCCTTAGGTGAACTCCCACCTTTCTTGAGCTTTAAACTACAGACCAAGTGCCTGCCGGCTCTGTTTAAGATACACAAGAGCGGAAGCAGAAAAAAAGGTGGGCAAATTTTGACCCAAAAAAAAAAAAAAATCCCCTCTAAAAATCCACACTGCATTCTTTATGGTGGGATCCAGGAGCAGCCCCGGAGTTCGCTACCCTGGGGACCCCTTTACTGGGGGCTCTCTCCTAACATTTGGCGTCTTTCCACCCCACCGCTAGCACTCGGGATGAATGACAGGGCAGAGCTCCCTCACAAGCCCCCGCATCCTAGGGTGGAGCGGAGCCTCCCCGCGGTTTTCACTGGAGAGGGGAGGGGGAGCCGGGAGAGCTGCGAGAAGACTGTTTATTTGTTTCCTGGAACGCCCCGTTAAGAATCTCGGCAATTGCAGTTAGTGCCCCATCGCTTGGCAAGCAGAGCAGCTTCTCGCCGCTCCCAGCTGCACGGGATCTAATTCTCAAATGCACCATCTTGCATTCAACACTTAAATGGAAAACAAGCAGCCCCCGGGAGAGAGGCAGGCGGTCTAACTCCGCAAGCCCTTTTCCGAGGGATTGATGCCCCTAGGTCGGTTGACTGGTTGGTGCCCTTCCCTGAGAGGATATTTCGTTGAGCGCCGACCCTCTCTCATCTTGGATCCAAAACCCACGCTAGCGGGGGTTATAAACTGCAGTTACACATGGATAGAAAACGGGATTTGGTTCGGCCTTAGGCCTTGCCAGTATAAAATAGTAACTAAAATCTGTTCAAGAGCTCAGATTTTAAAGGAAGATGCTGCTTATTCTTCCCCACTGGAAACCTGGGTAAAGGAAATTAAGGCCTCTCTTAAAGGTAACTAAGATTAGAGGGCTCGGTTTCCGTTTTCTGTGTTTCTGTGGGCCGAACGCCCAGGTCGGTCAGCGAGTTTCTCTCTGGGTGGAATGACGAATTCCTCTCGCCTGGATTCTAAAATGATCGTTTTTGCTTGGTTCTGCAGCTGTGAACGTCTGTCGCCCATGGGGCCCAATCCTGGCGGTAGCGCGCTGCTAGTGGGAGAAATGGGTGAATGGGGAAGAAGGACGAGCCATGCCTCTGTGAAAAGTTGGAAGACCTGCGAGGAGACAAGTAACCGCAGTTCCTCCGGGCCTCGGCCCCTTTAAGGGCTTCACTGACTCAGCTAAGCTTCCCCCTCAGGTCGTGTTTTTTATGAATGAAAAACGTCCTTACATTCATTATATAAACAAGCCTGTGCTGATTGGTCAATGGCCCCCGGTGCATAGATTATGTAAAACAGATCCCTGAGGGGTGGGGAGGGACGTCCCATTGACCAATGGGAGCCTGAGTTGATGGGGCGGCCTGGCTGGATTTGCCCGTAGACAGGGTAAACAAGAGGTGATGGACAGCTAAGGAAGCAACCTTAAGCCAATGGGAACGCGGCAGGGCTAGGGCTATGGGCCAATGGTGGCGGGCGGAGCAGCGGGCCGCGGGGGGCCGGGCCAGTGCTCCAGCCTGGCTGGCAGCTGCGGCGCAGAGTCCAGCGGCTTGTGTGCGGAGCGGTTCCCTGTACCTCGAGCGGTTCGGCCCAGCCATTTGCTTAGGCGCCCAGGCCCGGTGCGCGCGTGCGTGAGCGCGCCTGCGCCCGGGGCCGCTGCAAGGGGAGAGCCGCCGCCTCAGGTGAGGGCGCGTTGGGGGGGCCTCAGAGGGGGAGTCCAGGAACGGGTCGGAAAGGCCCTAGAGTTTACGGGCTGATTCAGAATCTTCAAATAGGGGTGCACTTTTTATTTGGGATAAGCCCCCCCCCAGGGGTCTGACCGCCCCCTCCTCTTATGGCCCGGTCCGGTTCGATTTCTGGGAGGCTTCGGGCGGGGGTGGCTAACGGTTCCGGAGCGCATGGAGAGAGGGTTTCCGCACGTCTCGGGGGAGGCGCTCGGGAGCGCGAAGTGCGGGGGCTCCCGGGCGGGGATGGGGGCGCAGAGTAGCGGGGCTTTATAGTCTCCGGAGGTCTGAGAGCCCCGAGGGGACCTGGAGGCTCGCGAGAAGAGACGCTCGGCGGAGCTTTGCAGTGGGGAGGAGGGGGCCGAGAGCAGCATAGGGGGGAGTATTTGAGAGGTGATGCCCCAGAACCCCAGGAGCGGTTAAGTGACATTAGGCTTGTCTGCGGGATTGGAGGTTGGCCCGGAACTTGCAGGCCTTGCAAGTTTCAGGGTGTGGAAAGTGGACACCCAAGCCCCCAGCGAACTGAGCGTCAAGCTGCACAGCGATTCCCGAGAAATTCGGGAGCATCAGAACAGCGGCCTGGGGATGGCGGGGAGGAAAACGGGTGCGGTGGGGAGGGTGAGGATGGAGAGATGCTGGAGCCTCGCGCAGGATTAGGGATCTAACCTCATTTTCAGAGGAGAGGGGACTTCTGAGGGCGGGGGAACAGAACTCCTTGTTGAGGAGGGGTGCCAAGGAGGGATGTTCGGAGGGTCTTTTGGGGGAAAGGGGAGGAATTGAGGGCGGTTGGTAGCTCCCGGCGCCGCAGCTCGTTTTTATGAATGTGAGTGACTTTATGAATGAAGCGGGTTTCTTTCGTCGGCTCCTGCTCCCTGCGGCTTTTTTTTTCCTCCCCTTTTTGTGAATGAAGCATTGAGCTTGCTTCCTAAAACGCTGGGGTGAGGGGCCTGCGTCGGAGGCTGGGCGTGCGTTGGGAGTGGGGGCGGGGGCGCCGCTGAAGGAGTTTTCATGAATGGGGAAGGCTGGGAATTGGGTGGAAGTGTGTCTTGTTTTGTGAATGGGGCCCAGCGCGAGGGATCCAGTTACAGGCTTTACCTGATGTGGCTGCCGCGGCTCGCTCTCCCATTCATAAAACCGGGGCCGCTGTGCGCCGCGGGGGAGGGGCCTGGATCGCTCCGCTGCGCCGTGTTAAAGTTTTCCTGGGGGCACCGAGAAGGGCGAGGGGGCGAGGGGGCGGGGGGCGGGGGGTGGGCGCAAAGGAAGTAGTTTAAACTCCTGGATGAACTCAGCCTTCCCTTCAGGTTTAAATATATACTTATATACTTTGAACACGATTTCTCTAGCCCTTGAACTGCGAGGACTGCTTTAAAGATCCTCAATGCCTCTTGGATTCGCGTGTGGCATCCTTCTTTCTTTTATTCAATTTTTTTAAAAAAAAATATATTTGCTCGTCATGGTGAAGTATTTTGCAACGTATTTTATCATGAGACTGAAACCCTCCGGTTTCTCCCTCGGATCTCCTACCCGTTGTCCCCTTCCCTCAATAGACATTTACAGAACTTCTAAGGCCAGGATTTAATCGGACAGGTTTTTGAAGGGCACAGAAGACTCATTTTCATGCCCCTCAACTCAGTGCTGGTGATTCTCAGATTTTGTATACGGGTTGGTGACATTTGAGAAAGGGGCTTTATTCTGAACATTTAGCGATATTTGGAAGGCACGCAAGCAGGCTAGCAGGAGTGTTTTTTGTAGGAAACTGAACTGTGTGCAGTTTTGCTCCCCCCCCCCCCCACCACCACCACCTTTCTCTTTGACTGAACATATCTGATTACTTGTGCCAAAGTGCTGAGAGGAGGCTGGCCGTGAAGGGTTTCCTTGCATCCTGCTCACCAAAATTTGATATGCTCCACACAGTGTGAAAAACAAATTGGATGGAATTGTCCACTAAGAAAAGGTTCCCTACTTAAAGTTTATATGCAAGTTAAACAAAAGAATTATCCTTAAGCATTTTACATTGTTTCAAGTTCGAGTGGGTGAAATTGTTTTCCCCATTTTGTTGATTAACTGTGTTTCCTTATTTGGAGAATAAAACAAATTGTTCAGGAAGATGGTACCTTCCTAAGATTGTTGTTTTATTCCTCCCAAATTAGAAAAGGTTCCCTCCTCTCCATTTTAACCCCCAATTTCTCTTTCCAGCCCCAAGACTTGACAGTACTGAAACAAGTTTAATTTTATAATTTGGTATGTTGGGGAGGGGTGGAGAATGAACCTCAGTGTAAGGAAAATACTGAATTTTCTTTTCATGGATCTTTTGCTTTCGATACTTTCAAAAAAGATCTGTGGTAGATATGCATTTAAAATATGTACAGTGGAATTTAGTTTCCTTTATCCATTACTCTTCATAGTTATTTTATTATTTTAGAAGTTGGAGGTATCTCTGTGAGTTGCCATGGAGATTATTTGTGACATTACAGACACACACCTGTTTGGACAGAAGGTTTAGGTTTTAGTAAAGAGCAATGTGAAGATAAGTATACCTTTGGTGGATATATTCATGGAACTATATATAGTGTTTTTTCACTGACCTACAAAATACTTTTAGAAACACTATGTATGTCAGATTCTTAATTGCCAATAATTTGGAATGCTTAAACCCAGTTTTCTACTTCCTGTCACTGTAGTAGAAAAATTAGATTATCTATATAACAATCCCAACACTACAAATGCCTTAGAGAATCTTCTATTGAAGAGAACTTGAAATCACCTTTTTATAATGAAAATAAGGTGCCCCCTCCTTTTTAAAAAAACAAAGGAAAGATGATAGCAAACCTATACTCTAATGATAGAAAAGGATGAGCAAATGGATTTGGCACTAAGTACACTATGTACCTTTGATGCCCTTAAACCCAGCGTTAGTCTGTAAAGCTAACACCTTGAGTGGGCTTCACGTACCTCAAAGAAAGGTAGTGGTTTACATAGGCCCTAAGAAAGAATGGAATAAAATTATTTCACTTCTCTTCTTCCCCCTCCCCCAGTAAAAATCTCCCAAATTCATATTACAGGAGGACCCCCTTCCCCCAGAAATTACTCAATGCTGAAACCTTTCCAAGTGATATTAGAGACATTGGAAGCACCATGGATGGGTTTTATGACCAGCAAGTCCCTTTTATGGTCCCAGGGGTAAGTTTATGTGGCTTTTGATTTGTTTTGTCCTCCCTCTTCAAATCCCAGTCTTCTCCTTATTGATTTAGTAATACCACCCCCTTTCAAGACCCCTTTTTTACACTTGAGTCTTCACTGTTTGTTTGCCTTTTTCAGAAATCTAGATCAGAGGAATGTAGAGGGCGGCCTGTGACTGACAGAAAGAGGAAGTTTTTGGACACAGATTTGGCCCATGATTCTGAAGGTAGCGAAGCTTTCCCCTCTGTGTTGTGGCTTCCTTAAATGGCTCCCAGGGAAAGCCGCAGATTTTATAAAGTAGATTCTTCCCTTCTCCCCAACAGAGGAATCTTCATTCTGGTGTCTTCTGTTTTTAATTCTAGAGTTGTTTCAGGATCTCAGTCAACTTCAAGAGGCTTGGTTAGCTGAAGGCAAGTTTCTTGGCTGTCCTATTTTCCATATAAAACATTTCACTGTGCTTTTTAATAAAACGTAAAGGTCTAAAATAAAAATCTCTTTTTCAGCACAAGTTCCTGATGATGAACAGTTTGTCCCAGATTTTCAGTCTGATAACTGTAAGTACCTTTCTGGTGGTGGCTGACTTGTTCTGAAATTGTTTGGTCTTGGATTATCCATGTCTAGATTGCTTTTTTCAGATATATAGTCAGCATGTTTGGACAGTGGAATGCATTTTGTTTCTTTTAATAACACAAAGTTAACCCCCAAAACATTTGTTTTATTCTTTATTGAAATTATTTCTAAAGTGCTTTTATTCTATTACAGGTAAGATTTACTGAACATAATTTAACCCTAAATTTCTTTTCCCTAAGAATATTGCAAGGCTTCAAGCTCAAGATTATGAATTAATTGACATTGTATATAAGATGTTGGACTAAACATCAATTAACCAGACATTATCTTACAGTGTTTTTGGTTTGTTTTATGAATTAAGTCCTTGATGCGAATCATGAGCCTGGCATTTTATTTTCTTTTAAAGGTGCAGAAAATAGTTAATGGAAGGTTCAGTTAATTGTGGCCTCACCTAACATGTTGTCAATTTTGTTTCTACTTCTAAGCTGAAAAGGGGTGATCACAGGGTGACCTGAATTACTCCTAATATTCATGTGTTCTCAGTACTTTATCACTCAGAGAAGAGTAAAGCTACTTTAAAAATGGTCGTTAAGTGATCTTGTCATTGAGATAACAAATAAGGTGGCCAGCTCAAAAGACAGCTCTCCGGGCTGGCAGGGGTGTGGTTAGCTTTGCACTGATCTTTCAGAGCTGTCCTCAACAGGTTTGGGGAGCTTTTATGGTCCAGGCAGAGCTATCAAGGACAAAGCTGGCTGATGAAATTTGAGCAGCACAGGGCAGCTCTAGAGAGCATTAGTCACTGGCGAATGAGCAGGTTTGAGAGAGGCCTGGAGAAAATGCTGCCTCTCTTGAGAGTTGCATCATAGAGAAATTCATGTCTCTTAGTCATAGTTTATAATAGCAAGCACCTGAGCCAGGCAAGGATTCGATTTCTCATTTTGTACCAACAAATTCTTCCCAGCTTTGTTTTAGAGAGAGAGGGGAAGAGAGAAAATGAATGACATAAAGAGAGAGAGAAAATGCTTTGGGAGAGAGGGTGTCTTTGAGTTTCAGTAAAATCTGGGTGTTCTAAATCATTCAATGAAAGATCAGAAGCACCAGCTAACCATTCTTTAATGATAGGTCTCATATTCAAGGCATAATGCCATGAGACTTTAAAAGGGGATAAACTATAACCCACAGATGCATGGTTACCTTAGCTTTGTCACAGCTTGCTGTGAATATTTTCTTAGGAAAGTAAATGATGTTAATTTTTGCCCTTTGATGGCTTTTAAGTGATTGGGAAACTTGCCACTGAAAGACTAAATAAAGATAACACAAAGCGGGGTGTGTGTGTGTGTGTGTGTGTGTGTGTGTGTGTGTGTGTGTGTGTGTGCATGTGTGTGTGCATGGATGCATACATAAGATAAAAGGCAGGATTTGTAATCCCACTCTGTTCTGTGTTGACAACTTGGCCCAGCCTTTCCAGTTCTTGCTCAGAGCAGCATAAATTGCAGTCTGTTTGGGAGGTGGCTTTCTTGGCAGAGGCTCGTTGAAATGCTTTTATGACACTTTGTTTGTTTCACTATAACCCAAAAGAGTGAAAGGGAGGTGAGATGACTGCATTCAAATTGATTTCATGTGCTAGAGCAGAGGTATGTTCTTTAGAGGAAGATGTCAGCAAACAGGATTTATATTTGGAGAGATATTTATCTGCAGGAATAAGCTGAAAGGAAAGAATCAATAAATGGCTTTTGGCTCCTTAGAAGCGAATAGAATGTGCTAAATTCTTTCATTAAATTGTCATACCTAAAATGGAGGTGCTTTGGGAGACATTTCTGCTTACCAAGTGTGCTATGTTTTTTACTTTGTTTGCTTTTTGCTTTAACTTCTTACGGTTGAGCTTTGCTGTCTTTTAAGGATAAAACAGATGGTTGAGTAGCCTTGAAAAGTTTTTTAATAATTCTTTCCCCTTCTCTGTTATTTCTGGAGATGGACCCTCAAGAAGAATAGATTTTAGTAGAGCCACTTGCTTTAGAGGCTAGTGAAGAACACAAATTTGGAATGGTGTATCCTTCATCCATCCATCCGTGCTATTAGTGTGACTGGTTTGACTTCTGTTGAAACGGACAATGTAGTTGCATGGATGCTGGCAGAGCCCAAGGCTGGGCCCACTCTTCTCTGTGAGTGCGTCTCACAGCCTTGGGCTGAGGAGCAGCTTCTACTCCTGTCACTTCTCCTTCTGGAAGAGCCTATGATTATTCCAGGGGAGCGGGAGAAACTCATTCATTCAGATTTAATGAAACTTTATAAGTTGGTTTGAATCAACTAGTCCATGAACTTAAAACAAACTTGCACTTGTTGGTAAAGCAAACCTTTCCCTACTCTAGCAGAGCATCTGAAACAAGCACTCTCCTGTGGCTTGCCACTTGGGATGGTCTGCCTTTGCTGGGAATGCTGATTTGGTGAATTTTCTATTGTGCATGTGTGAGACTGTAGGCGAGAGAAAAAGAAATATCATGTGGGTAATTGTCTTTATTTTAGAATTCAGTTTTGAAAATTATGGCGTACTTTCTTCAGTAAGCACTTACAAGGTTAACTTCTAACGAGATGATATTTTGTTAAGTGTTCTAGCTTTAGGTTCCTACCCATAGGCATCCATCCACACTGAAACCATTGTTCTTATAAGTCTTATATAAATGCCCAGTTTATTTCTAGCTATATAGATTTCACCTTACTTCACAAATATAAACATTAGTAAAGTATCTCCCATCTGGAAACTCTTCTAGGTCAAATTCAAGGGAATAAAAAGTGCAACCTATAGCCTATAGGGGTTCTGCCAATTTCTCCCCATTGTCCCCTGGTCCTGAGAAGTACCCCTGAAAATCCCAGATTGTTTGAGCTGGAGGTTTCTTGCAAAGATAAGTCTTGTCCAATCCCTCATTTTACAGAGGGCCTAGATAGCTGGATAGCTGGAGAGCCTGACTAATGTGAGGGGCCAATAGCAGGGGTTAGGTGAAATGATGAGAGGAAATTATACAATAATATCCTTAAAGAAGCAAAAGCTGCAGAGGCAGGGGGTACTGGAGGGTTCAGGTGTACCCAGGGCTCCCCCTCATTATTTCAAATACCTCCAGATAGCCCTCGGGAGAGCCCTAGGGAGACTGCTGGCTGCCTGGTTCAAAACCTCCATTCTCTTTATTCCATGATCCTGAGAAACTTATTAAATATCTCGGTGCTTTGAGTTTTTCCCATCCAGGACTTGGAAGAGAGAGAGAGAAATTATAAAACAGAAAAAAATATAAAATGGACATGTTTCCTAGAAGACATATTAGCATGTGTATAGATAAAACTGTGTGTTATGCATCCTGTATATTATAAATGAGTATATGTGTGCATACCTATGTAAATGTGCCTGTGGCTAAATATGTGAATTAACACATAGAACTACCAAACCAGGGAATCTGGGTCAGTAGATGGATGTATAGACATTTTTACTACACATTTTCACAGAATTAACTACAAATCAAAAGGTAAGAGTGGAACTCAAAATCCATAGATTTGGGGTGGGGTAAGGGTTATATTGATTTTTCTGAACTGAGTGCTTGAGCATTTAAGGGTATTCCTGGATTTTAGCATGTACAAATCGTTTTGTTAATGCAGATTTCAATTTTTTTCTTAGTTATTTCATTTGTGATATTGTGAATGTTTACCAACATCTCAAATAACAAATATTTTATGCTGGGGAGAAGGCATGATAAAAATCTTATTTTAAAATCATGGCCTCCATACTAAGTATAATTTAGAGAATTGTTTTAAAATCTAAGTGACCTTATTTCCCCTGAACTGTTATTTTTAAATATGTGTCTCAAAAAGAATGGCAGGACTGGAGGAAGTACGAGTAATTTTCAAAGGACTGTCTAATTAACCGATGAAATTGACTTTTCATAAATACTTGTCATAGATGGCTGGGGAAATAGGTTTAACTGTTATGACAACCCTTGAGCCTAAAACACATTGATCTTAGTCCTGTTTCAATATGAGATTATTCAGTTGGACTTTTTCTTTTTTTACCAAATATGTGAATTAACACATATTTAGTATGAGGTTGATACAGTAGAGGCAGTGACTTCCTTTTGGAGAGGACATACCATTTTGGACCCAGAGGTGGGTAGCAGAACTCTAGGTTTACTTGCTCTCTGGTCCTGGGCCATTTCAATTTGAAAGGATCCTCCCTCTCCTTTCCTCTCTAGAATCAATAATATATATAATATTTTATTGACTTTTTACAGAGAGGAAGGGAGAGGGATAGAGAGTTAGAATCATCGATGAGAGAGAAACATCAATCAGCTGCCTCCTGCACACCTCCTATTGGGGATGTGCCCACAACCAAGGTACATGACCATGATCGCTGGGACCCTTCAGTCCGCAGGCCGACACTCTATCCATTGAGCCAACCGGTTAGGGCTAAAAAATATATATTTTTAGATGAGAATGTTGAAGAAGCAAAGCTATCAATTTATCGTTTTCAGAAGCCAGTAGTTGGAAGGTGGGGAGAAGAAAGAAGAGTGCTGAAGAAAGCCGGAGGAAAATGTGGGGTTGAGGGAGATTATTTCACTCCAGGTTTACACTGTGTTTTCAAAGGCTCTGTGAGCTAGTTCTGACCTCTGAGAGGGTGCTAAATGATAGGATATCCTTCCTGTTTTGATAGCATCCAAGATCCTTAGACCCAAGTCTCTTAAGAAACCAAGACCTAGCCCTGACCGGTTTGGCACAGTAGATGGAGCGTCAGCCTGTGGACTGAAAGGCCCCAGGTTCGATTCCAGTCAAGGGCATGTACCTTGGTTGCGGGCACATCCCCAATGGGGGGTGTGCAGGAGGCAGCTGATCGATGTTTCTCTCTCATCGATGCTTCTAACTCTCTATCCCTCTCCCTTCCTCTCTGTAAAAAAATCAATAAAATATATTTTAAAAAAGAAACCAAGACCTAGAGTGCCCATTTAAC